CTTTAGACTTACTTAGGAGTGAAATTGATACTATTTTTGCTTTGTACTCTCCTGATCCTTTACACGTATTTTATTGGGGCCCAGAGACTATCTTCAAATGAATTCTAATAGAGTTCTTCATATCCTAATACTTCTTGTTTTATTTGTTCTCTCTTTATTTCTTTTGTATTATTTGTCTCTGCTCAGAGTTTTTCTAAGGTAAGGTCTGCTATATTTTTTACGATTTTGTCTTCTACTTGTAGAATATAGACCTCTATTTCTGCTTCAAATATTACTTCTGCTTCTTGGTATATTTGTATTACTATATTTGTAGTACTACTAGCTGTTTCTTCTATAGTGATCTTTGGGAACTCTATTGGTTGATCACCTTGGAACAGGATTTCTATTACTGTTTTTCCTTTGTTAGCTTCTTTTTCTTTGATCCTTTTAACTTTCTGAGTGATGAGGAATTCATGATTGCAAAATATCTCTTCTTCTTCCTCTGTTTCTTTAACTATTAATAGCTCTTTTTGCTTGCGATCTAGCCTAGTCTTTTCTATTTAATCATATTCTTCTTTTAATTTTATTTCTTTTTTTTTTGCTTTTCTAGTACTATCCTCTTTTCTTTGCTATTATACTCAGCTTCTCTTCTTCTTTGCTCTTTTGCGTCAGAAGTTCTTGTTCTAGCTCGCTAAATACTATTTCTAGTATCTCTCTTCCTTCTTTGATGATTATTTTTTTCAAGATCTTGTGCTAACTTCTAGTTGTTTTAATAATTTTTTTGCTAATACCTTGCTACATAAACATCAATTTTCTCTTAGTTTTCTTCTATTCCTTCTATAACCTTTGTTAATTTTTCTGGATCTTCCTCTTTAAGTATTGATTTAAGGCTAACAATTTTTTTGGTTTTTACTAGCTAGTTCTTTTCTATTTTCTCTAGTTTACTTATACTTCTTTTGTTTTTGTATGTCTATTCTTCTCTTGATTTTATATGTAATGTATCTTGAAATAACTTTCGCTTTTTTTGCAAATTTCCTAAGGGTTTATTTTAATTGTTAATGATTCTTCTGGTTTTAGTTGAGCATATTTCTTTTTTGAGTTTAGCACATGACTGTAATTTCCAAAGTTGCATTTGTTTGTTTACCTTATTTTCCTGTGATTGTATAACATAAACTAATCTGTGATACAGAGTATTTTCAAATCTCTTAGTTTTTCAAAAAAGAGACAGGTTTTGGAATTTTTATTTAGAAAGTTCTTCTGATACTTCTTTTCTACTGAAATTTTCTATTCTTCTATCTTGTTATGTGTATTTATTTGTTCTCCTTTCTTTTTCTTAATGACTCAAGTATTGTTTTCTAATGAATATTTAGAGTTTTCTTAGTTTTTTCTTTTGCTCTAGAAATGGTCAAAATAATAGATGAAGAGAGTGTTTTTTTGTACTAGATATTACAATATATACTAAATATTATTGCATATATATATATATTTAAAATTAAGTCAATTGTCTGTTATAGTATTTTGATATGTTATCATATCTTGAATTATGTTTTAGGTAATATTAAAATTAGTTATAACATCACCAAATATTTGCATCTATATCTAACAAAGTATACTAAATAAAACTTTAATAAATTTAATTATATACTTTCTAAGTAGTATTATCTATTATTTTTATTCTATTGAATATAAAAACTAAATTCAATTACAGAAAATATATAATATTGAGAAATAAATTAGAAATATAACCAAAATACTTCTAATAACTAATTAAAAAAAATTAAATAAGAAAAAAAATTCTAAACAAAATTATATAATATTAATAAATATATCTTGAATAATATTGATTTTCTATAATATTTCTGCTAACAAGATCTAGTTAATAGTATTCAATAATCAATAATAGATTACTATAAAAATTTTTATTATCATTATTTTTATATTTTTTAAGAATAATATTATACTATATTGCAGATTTTTTGTTTCTTTATTTAATTCCTTTAAAAGTAATATTTCTTTAGAATAACTTTTGCTATAAGAATTTATATTTATTATAGAACACAAAATTTTTGAATACTTAATCTAATTTTTTGTATTCTTTCTAAAATAACAATTTCTAGTTTTTCATCATAATATATTTAAAAAAGAAAAATTCTATTATCTTAATACATGCATTATTTTTGCCAATTATAATTAACAATGTCTGAGTTTTTTCACATCCTTATACTAGCTAGTACTATGAAGCTTATGCTGAGCTCTTTGCATCTCTAATACAATTTGATATTTTTGGAAGAAGATTATAAGTTCCTTATTAAGAATTTTCTTAGCTATCTAGATGTACTTAATCTAGAATTTGTGATTTTTTTTTAGTTTCTCTTTCTGCCTAATTCTGCTCTAGTTTTAGAATTCTAGTTTCAAGCTTAGCAAAGCTCTGTCTTAATACTTCAAGCCTAGCTTTCTTATCAGTTTTCTTAGCCTCAAACTCAGTGATTAATACTTCAAGCTCAGATAATAAGATAAATAATATTTTTACATTTTTGTTTCAATCTATAATATATTTATCCATTTATCTATCAGATATTCATATACAAATTTATCTAGATATCTATTTACTATTAATATCCAGATAATTATTCGGATATTTGTTGGATTATTCGGATATCAATAGTAAATAGATATCTAGATAAATTTGAATATGGATGAATGGATAACAGATTTATCTGAATTGAAACTCTATTTTACATACAAAAAAATTATTTAATGTTATATAACAAATGTAAAACCATATTATTAATACATGCAAAAATAAATAGAAGATCAGGACCTAGCTTGTGATATATAATGTCTATACTATTATCTGTAGACTAAAATCTGCGTGAAAAATTTCACTCTATCACTTTACAAAAAAATTCTCGATCATATGCGAGTTATACATTTTAATAAATACACAAAATACATGC